TAGGCAAACTTGTGATAATGAAACGATTTGTCCAGTAATGCTAACGAGTTCGCACATGTTCGTCTACTGAGGATAAAAGACGGAATTTCAGGAATCAGAGAATTTGACTCAGGGCCACACAAATATTGGAGCTGAGAGCGCGAACGAACTTGGGTTTATTTTCGAGATGAGAACATCAGATGGCATCCGAGATGACGGCGAAAAGACAAAAGCGGCACCGGATAGCAGACTTACAAACGTCTTAGGTCGCGTTTTAGGTATACTAGATTGACCACTCAAATATTAAAGACGATAAAAGATCTACCAGCTACATAACACATTGTTGGGTCAGGGCTAAAACTACGACTTTTAGACCCAGTTGCAGCAACAGAAAACCCCGTAAGATGAAAATGAGTCAAAACTTACAGCCCGGCAGCCTGAGCACGATTCAACTGTTCCGATGACAACGAAAGAAGTCCAGCAGCATGCAGCTGGAAAAGTGATTCACAGAGCCCCTCTGACGCGGCAGGCGTGGTTCTCGAGGCTTTACTCACTTCACAAAGCCGCTCAAATAACTAAAGGGACAGAAAACAGCAGGCCTGAGTGGCAGCATGTAACATGGGAGGCGGGAGTGGGTGGATATTGCAATGCGGGGGCACTTACGCAGTCTAATTTCTGCCTGTCAAAGGCAATGGTCGCGTTCTCTGGCAGCAGGAGCTGCTGGCTCAGGAAGTAAAGTGTGGGGGCCAGGAGGTCTAAAGAAGTATCCGGACTGTCAAGGACCGATGACGCGAGGGCATAGAAGAGTCTACGCCGACGTTGCAGCCTGCGAAAAAAAGGAAAACGAGTCAGCGTTTTGTTATCGGATAAAACTAGCGGGAAAATACCAGATCATCAAACCGAAGAAGTTCTGAAGGTTTACACCCGATGATGAACCTTCACCGATCGCTAACGGAACTCAGTCGTCCCGCTCTACCTTGGATTTCATTTCTTGAGCCACGTCAGCAGTCACGCAGCGCCTCAAATCAATTCAATAAACAAAAATAACAACCTAAAATGGGTGTTAAACTGTCCCCTGAATGTTTGAGCTTCAGATTTCACGAGTTAGATAATCCACTGTATGAATATCTGAGGTTAAATGCACCAGCTACCGCGGTATAACCGCGCAATATCCACAAACTGCTAAAAACATTCAGTAGTATACAATAACGTAATTATTTACTATACTGACTACACAGCGTGTCTGGACTTTTAACTAATACTGCAAGTTGGCGCACAAGTTTTCTCAGGAGTTAAACAAGACAAGATAAAATTGTCGCGGATGATAAGGACTAAGACAGCGGGGGCGCTTGATGTACCAAAAAGGCGGATAGTGGAAGACAACCAATGACAGGAGGAGCACTCACCACTGAGTCTTTGGCGGAGAAAAGAAGGCCTCGCGCGAAACGAGGGTAAGCATATTAACCAGATCTACTGCCGCCAAACGTAAAAGCACTGTGAGCCGCGTTGGAGAAGCGCTTGATCCCTCAGCACCACCAGTGGTGGCCGTGACAGGCGATACAAGAGACTGGAGATTCAACAATATTCCCCGCGACAAGTCCACAGAAGAGAGACTCGGTGAGAGTAGAAGGTTGAAAATCTAGAAGGAAAAACGTTCAAACAACACGTTACTATCTGATTACCGGTTACACAATCGTTAAATGACTGTTGGTACCTAGAGAAGTAGGTTTGGATGAACATTTGACGAACGAGAAGCAGGGTTCCTACAGCCCATGCCCTAAAATATGCCGCGAGATACAGCTGACAGTTCGACCGTCGACTTCAACGAAGTCCAGCATGTGGCTCACGGCAAGGTGGCACAGGGATGGTGAATTGCGCGTGAATTAGATCCCAGTGGTAGAAGACTCGCGGTGCATTCACCGCAATCCCCCCTTTCCGCACCTGAGACCGCTGTCATAACCAAGTCTATAAGGCCGGATGTAGGAGAGCGCATTTAGCCGGTGCAGTCGGAGCCACCCCTAGGCATGTCGCCAAGCCTGGCTAGGATCTCACGGAGTTGGACTGCTATATAGA